ACAAAATGCGGTGCTACGATATCGCCGGGGGGTTCTTAAATGCTTCCTGGGGTCGGGGAATTGGGGGGGGGCCGGGGAAGCGCCCAGTTCATTCAGATGTTGCCGCACGGACTGGTGGTCAGCCCGCGCTGCAGCGGTCGCCGGGTCCGCGCGGGCGCACCCAGGGACAGGGCAGCAGACCCGCGCGGGCGCGCGCGCCGAACGAACTCACGGGCATCATGTGCTGCAGGTGGTGGCGGCGCTGCCGCGGCGGCCGCCGCGTGCTGTTGCGGCGGCGGGCGTTCAACTGCTGACGGGGCGCCCCTGGGCGGCGCCGCGCCCCCCCCCCCCAACGGCCCCTCGTTCCAGGCGGCGGCGCTGCTATTCCAGCGGGATACCGGCATTGACGGGCATATCCCGTTCTGCTGCGTCGATGTGCACCCCCCCCAGTTGGAGTGCGATCTGCGGATCGGGCTCGTCGCCCGTAGTACGATTGCGTCGCGGCGGGCGCCCTGGAGAACCTTGGGCGCGGCCACTACCCACGAAGGCACTGTGCGCTGCAGCGTCTTGTTGGGGGGGGGGGGGGGGGGGCACTCCCAAGCAGCAGGCGCGCCGCTGACGCTCGAAGAGACACGTGCTGCAGATGCCTCTGTCACCCGATGTCGTTGCCAGGAAGGCTGGAGCGAGGACGGCCTTGGCAAGTGGTGCTGCCTGAGCGCCCGCCATCCATGTCGAGCGCGGCTGGGCATGCGTCATGGGGCGCAGGGCGAGAGTCGTCGCCACCGTCGCCGCTATGCATAGTGGCCGGGCGAAGTGGATCTCCGACCAAAGTGCTGAAGCACATGCGCCAGCAAGAGCGCGCTGGCGAGGCAACCCGCGCACCGCCGCGCCGAAGGGCGCGACCTGCATCGGCGAAGTCGCGACGCACGCCGCCAGAAAGACAATCTGCGGGATCGCGGCGTTCGTCGCGAGACGCCCCGCCGCCAAGCGTAAATTCTGGGACGCCACAGCGCCGCCTAGCCACGCGACAGCATGCCATGGGAAAGCCGCAAGTACGAGAGGAAGTGAACAGAGGATGTCGCATGAAAGTAAACTGAGGATATCGCAAACAATATCGAGCGCCCCTTCGCCCCCGCAGGCGCGGGGCCATGGCGAAGAAGTCTGGGGCGCATTCGGCGGACTCGAAGACGTAGAGCGAGATCCCGAAACGGAGGGGGCACAGCTGCGTATATGTCGAAGGAACAGTTCGGCTGCGCACGTGCGCTGCCCAGGCGGGCCGCTGTCGTAGTTGCGGGCACCAGGCGTCGGCGCGCACCTGAACAGCTCGGGAATGCGGACCGTCTCGACCTGGAAGTCAAATGGGAGGCCCAGGGGCCCGATCTCCCGGAGGACGTCCATCCACGTCGGCAGAGTGGCAGCGCGGTCCTTCAGGGAACCTGCATAGGGATCAAAACCTATCGGGGGGCCCAAAAGCAGTCCAGGTGGGGGAACTTGCCAAAAGGGCCCAGGGGTAAGACCGTGGGGGGGGGGGGGGGGGGCAAGCTCGAGATATCCGACTCCTTTGGCCCCACGGGGGTCCGTAACAGGAGAGGTGGCCCCACCTAGCGCGGAGTCCTGGGGAGGACTGGCGGCTCCTGGAGGGCGAATGCTGGGGTAGAGGCCCCGATCCCCCTGGGCGCTCTGATTCCCGCTACGTCGACGGGCGCGCGGGCCTTTCTTGTCTTTGCGGGTGGATCTCTCAAGCTCTCCGCCGCCTCTGGCGGTGTGCGTTGCGAGCAGGAGCTGGGGCTTTGCTGTGTTCTTGCTCGGTAACATTTGTCGCGCGCGAGGGGGCAGACGGGCTCGGGCAAGGGGGGGGCGGGGGCGCGGATGGCGAAGGGCCCAGGGGGCGGCGGGGAGGGGCGGGCCAGATAGACGCAGGCGCGATACACTCAGGCGATCGCAAACATGGATTCAGGGGGACGCGGAGTAGCGACGGGTCCCGTTTCCATTGGAAATCGCAGATTTCCGCCGCCGAGCGAGGCAGCACCGGCCGCATTTCGGGGGGGGGGCACCTCCCCTGATCCATGGATTAGGCGACCGCGCGCCAAATCCATGGATCGCTAATTAATGTTTGCGCGCCCCAGATACACGCGGCGCCCGAGTCCTTTTGGGGACCTGGGAAAGGATGGCAAAGAGTCGAGTACACGTAAGATTCAGTCGGGCCTGTCCCTCTACAGGAGGCATATTCAAAAAGAATAATCCAAACATACTTGGGGGACCATTTATTTACTACTTTCGAGCATTTGGGGGTTATCTTTGTAGTATTTCTAATTATTCGCCCAAAATCCCCCTGTAAGAGACAGGCCCAACATAAACGTAAGAGTGGCCCTTCGCCAAAGTGACATTTGTTTTGGTGCGGGCCCACTGGGGTCCCCCGATCGCCGAACGCGAGGCCGCAGTGGCGCTTTGCGCGCTTGTGTTTGGCCCCCCCCCCAAACGGTTCCCCAAAAGCCGCGCACCAGAGGCCACTCTTGCCCAGGGTCGTTCCCTGCGCGCAGCCGAGAAAAAAGGGTGCCAGCGCGGACACAAGATGCCCGCGCGGACCTCCGAAAGGTCGTGCCGCAAGGCACGCCGAGGAAGGAACGAATGGGCCTGGCTGGCCACGGCGAGCGCCAGCCGCGACCAGGGCCCCCGGACGGCCCAGCCCTGCAAGACGTATCTAAAAATAACAGATGCGTTTAGATGCGATCGCGCCCAAATGCAGGCAAAAAACCCATCGTATATTTTCTCCTGTGCCGACGACAATATAGCTATTATTTTAAGATGCGCGCCCCCGGCCTGCGCGGGAGCGCCGCCGTAATTATCTAAACGCAACTACTGTGCGGCCATATCTAAAAATGCGGGGGCGTACTTATTTTTCTTCCAGCAACATGTCGAGCCGCATCTACTTTTCAAAGAATGTCCGCGCCGCGCCGTATCTATTCGTATATTATTTTTGTCAGAACGAATATTGTTGGCCGTGCTCTCGTCGCGAACAAGATCCATAATTTTGGCCGAAGCAATGAACAACGGGATAGGGATACACATTGTTCATTTTCAATTCTTTTCGCGGGCAAACCCGAAATAGCACGCATCATTCTTACGTTTCTAATTCTTCCCGGAATTCGACATGATCGGCTTCAGAAATGACACTCCCTGCGAAACACGAAAATGTATGGCTGTCTCGTTTTTGCCTCCAGCTCCCCTCTCCCGACGTCGTGCGTCCGTGTCGTGCGCCCGTCGAGCGTGAAGGAATAATTTCGAATATTAATCAATAGCTATAATACATATTTCCTCCGATAATGCAAACCACGGGTAGACATGCATGTCTGGATGTTTGCACTGTTGGTTTTCTTGTGCCTCAACCTCTCGTCCCTTCTTCCGGCCGTGCGTTCGCGTCCCTTCCCATGTGTTTCCGGAAATGGAGCTCTGTACCGGGATTGTCAGGATTATTCCGATAGTACTTAATATACGGATCGTTCTGGATGTGCCAGGATGGATGGTATCGTTGAGGCTCACATGCAGCATTCCGTAATCGTGACTAACAGTTGTCGCCCCATAGTTCTTGCGTTTCAAATTCTTCGCAGCATTAGAAATGAGCGGTTTTAGACATGAGCGGCTTTAGCGATGAACAATGTGTAGTGGGAAGCCATAGCAATGAGGAGTGAAGAAACGAGCGACGACGATTAAAACGACGAGGAGTAGGATGGATAACAACGACAAAGCGAAATTTAAGAGAGAACTGGATCGGAACAGGGAACCGTAGGATGGGAAAGCAAGGAAGTGGAGGTGGAGGAGGAGGAGGAGGAGGAGGAGGAGGAGGAGGGGGAGCGACTCAGACGATAAGAGCGGACGAGGAGGAGGAGGATGAGGACGCGCGGCGAGGAGGCAAGAGGAGCAAGGTAAAGTTGGAGGGAGCGTCAGAAGGAGACTGGAGGAGGGGGAGTCCGGACGGGGATGAAGTCGATCAGCGATTGGAGAACATGGTTCTTTTGTTTCGTCCTCCTCGTGCTCATGACAGTTCGGCCCGCCCGCCGTCCATGATTTCCCTCTTCATGTCCTCCTCCTCCTCCTCCTCCTCCTCCTCCTCCTTATCATCATCATCATCATCATCATCATCATCATCATCATCATCATCATCAGCATCATCATCGTCGTCCTGACTGGCATGAATAGTGTTTTCCCTGTTCGTGGTAATTGAGCGGCCTGGGCCTGGCAGTGGAGACGTGGCGCCGTATCTATTCAGATCTGTTTTTGGTAGACATGTTTTCAAGCGATGGGCACCATACTGAGCCGTATCTAAACATATCTTATCTAAACATATCTGTTCGTATCTCAAATGACCCCGTATCTAACATTTGGAAGAAAACCTACCTCCCGTATCTAACACAAGTAATTCGTATATAAACGTATCTATCTTTGAAACAAAAACATTCGTATCTAGTTTTCGTTGCGAAAACACATAAAGCACTTATGATTCGGGGGAATTTTCGATACCACCCGGCCCTTCCGAACGCAGTTGCCGCTGGGGAAATGAGCAACCATAATAGATTGTTAGATGTGTCCTCGGAGCCCCGAGCTTGCAGCGTTCCTTTCTTGGAGCGTTTTTTTCGGCGGCGAGCCCAGGGGGGAAGCGAGAGGGGACAGGCCGTCTGCGAAGGCAGCGGGGCTTCTCAGAAGTCTTCGCGCCTCCTGGGGAGCCTTGCGCCAAGGGAGGAACATCCACCCAGACCCGACATTTACTAGACGGCCTTGGGCGTTTACGGAACAGCCCTGCCCTTTTCGATTCCTTCTTTGGGTGCGTTGACTAGACGGCTTCGATGGGGGTGGATTTGTTGCCTTCCTCTGTGAGCCTTCTCCGCAGCCGCATGCGACTTCTCAGAAACCGCGAGGGCGTCTGAGGTGCCCCCCCCGCCTCCCGAGGAGGTCTCCCCCCTCTCGCCTCCCCCTGAGCTTCACGCCGAATCCTGACTGTACGTCGTCGTTTTTGGGCCTCCCAGGCGGCGGACCCGGGGCGCATGCCGCGGCCGTGGAAGGCCGCCACGGCCAGGCTGGGGAGGACGCCAACTGCACTGCACGCTGCGGGGTGTCGTGGCGTGTTTGGGCGTGTGAACCCTCTTTCGGCCGCGCCCTCGCCCCGCTCCTCCTCTTGCATGGTGGCACAATTCGCTCTAATGGCATCCTCGTTTAGGCATCCCATCGCCAGCGCAGAAGTCCCTTGCCAAGCCGCCGACTCTAAAAGTGTTTGGGCGTGTGGGCGTTTTTGTTTTGGTTATGGTTGCTGGGGCCCTCTGTTGCACATGACGGCGTCGGGGTGCCACTGCCTTGGGCCCCCTCGGCCAGAGGCCGAGAAAAGCAGCTGGGGTGGAAACGAAGCCGTCATCGGGCTTGGCCATCGGACCCAGGGACCATCAAGCACGGAGCCTGGACGCGAAGTTGCCCCCCCGAGGACGAGGTCGGGAGCCTTGGGGGCGCGGATGGAACAGCTCAGAGCGGAAGACGTCGCAAACATGGATTCAGGGGGCGTGGATTAGCGACGGGTCCCGTTTCCATTGGCAATCGCAGATTTCCGCCGCCGACCGAGGCGGCACTGGCCGCATTTGGGGGGGGCACCTCCCCCGATCCATGGATTTGGCGGCCGCGCGCCAAATCCATGGATCGCTACCCTCCTCCTCCTCCTCCTCCTCCTCCTCCCCCTCCTCCGTCTCCTACTCCTCCTCCTCCCCCTCCTTCTCCATCCTCCTGAGGAACTACATCCTGTTTTCCTTCGCCCTCTCCTCCTCCCCCCTCCCTCTTCCTTCCTCCTCCTCCGCATACTTCTCCCCGAGGCTGGGACGGCGTCTGGGAGGCGTCTGGGGATCGACTGCGGGGCGGCAGGTCCGCGGCTTCCTCGGCCAGGGGCGGCGGCGCCCGCGCGGGCGCTCCCCGGTGTCGGGGGCCCGTGTCGGGATCGGGGGGCCACAGGGAGGCGCCCGCCTCGGAGCGCTCACGTCACGAGGGTCCGTGCCGACGGGGGTCCGCCAAGCTCCCCTGGCCTTCCGTCGGGCATGTCCTGCCACAGGAGGAAGATCCGAGAATGGTGAAGAAATCATTCGGGGATGGTTTTATGCTTGTTGCTTATTCTTGAGTGCGTTTTGTTAATATTTTAAAGTTCTCTTCCAAAATCCGCCCGTCGGACTTAAGTCGGGCCTGTCCGTCTACAGGAAGGGTATTCAAAAATATCAAAATATGTTACGGGGTCTATGTTTCGATTATGTTCGGGCATTTGGGGCGCAGTTTCTGCGTATTTTCAATTTTTCGCCCCAAATCCCCCTGTAGGAGAACAGGCCCGACCTAGACATAACACATAACCGTACGAAGTCATGCCTGCTAGGGCCGACGTCCCCTCTGGCGCCCTCTGCTGGCCAGGGTCGGGGAGCTGCTGGGCGGCTGGCTGGGCTTCACCACGGGGCCCTGGCCGGCCCCGGGCTTTGTTGGCTTGGGTTGCGTGCGTCCCCTGGAGGGTTTCTCTGAAGGGCTTAGGCGACCCGTCCTCCTCCTCCTCCTCCTCCTCCTCCTCCTCCTCCTCCGCCTCCTCCTCCTCATCCCTCTCCTCCTCCTCCTCCTCCTCCTCCTCCTCCTCCTCCTCCTCCTCCTCCTCCTCCTCCTCCTCGGGTCGCCTTCGGCCCCGGGGGAAACCGTGCAGCGTCCCCGACCACCTGTCCTTGGGCCCGGGGCGGCGGGCCGCGAGGGGAGCGGTGCAGGGCGGGGTGTGGGGCGTCCTCCCCCGCGCGAGGGTGGAGGCGGCCAGGCGGCTGGCTTTCGAGGCCCCGGGCTGCGGGTGGGACGGGGCCCAAAGGTATACACCTCTAGGCCTCTTAGATGGGGTCGGAGTAGATGGGGTCGGAGGATCGCACCGCATCGGCGATGCGGCTCGATGTGGAGCCCGATGTTCTCCACGCTGGCCTCGCCGATGCATCGCCGACGCATCGCCGATGCATCGCCGATGTATCGCCGATGCGTCGGTGATGCGGCGCGATCCTCCGACCCCATCTACTCGGACCCCATCTAGGAGGCCTCTAACACCACCACCACCTCCCTCATCACCTGCCCCTCCAAGGAGGGGAGAGGAAGATGAGGGTTGTTTGAGTTGGGCTTGTCCCTCTACAGGAGGAACAGTCAAACATAGTCCAACCATAGTCTGGGGACGATGTGTTTTACCGTTTCCGAATGTGTTTTGTAGTGACTGTTTGGGCATTGTTATGTTTCGTCCAAAATCCGCCCGTATGGGGGACATGCCCGACCCAAGGTTATACGATTGAGGTCCGCAGGTGGGGCGGCCTGGGCAGCCAGGGCCACAGCGCGGGGGAGGGCCCGTGGCATTCGGAGGAGAGAGCGCGGCATGGGCGCAAACTCCTGGGGGCTCCGCGCGGATTTCTGGGGTCGGCCCTGGGCCCCTCTCTGGCGGCGCCTCCTGCTTCCCCCCCCCGGCGCGCTCCGCGCGCCAGGGGTCGGGGGTTGCGAAAGGGTACCCCTGGCCCGAGATGCCCCCCAGCCTGTCGCCCACATGTGGGGGCCCCTGGGGCCCTCTGGGCCTCGTGAGGGGGTCACCTGGAGGCCGTGGGTTCCTCGGAAATCCAGGGGGCACCTTGGGCCAGGCGCACTTCTGGCAACACCCGAGGGGAGGGGGGTCCAGCGCCGATCCAGGAAGTCCGTGCGGAGCTCGGGCATGTTACAGTTATGCCGTTGTTTCCTTCCTCCGAGTCATAGCTACACGGCCTGGGATGACCCGTGGTATGATTGCGGCCAGTGGGGCGGCGGCGCTCACATAGTATTCGGATGCGGCGATACTCAGCTCAGCCTCGTCTCGTGACGGGCACGGCGGCAACACTCGACGAGCAGTTGCCAGGTGTCATCGGTTCGTTGCAGTGCTGCTTTGGCGAGCCGCGGCTTCTCTCAGGCCAGTTGACTCGGGTCCCCCTTGAATCTTCCAAAGACACCATCACCCGAAACGACCACTCTAAACTCGTCTAGGCATGCTCACAGGCACTCTTAAGGAAGCCAACGTACACTTCTTACTCACGCCCAAGCCTTACGCACGCAGGCCTAGAGTCGGAAAGTATTCAGAGGGAGCCCAACAGTTGACGCGGACCGTGTGTCAGTCTGGGGGGAGGTGTAATTTGTAACATTGGTTTAACGTTTGGTTGAAGTTGCCGCTACCTTACAGTGCTGTGAAGCGGCGCACTTCGGACGCTGGCCCGCCAGCTCCGAGGCCTGAGCTCGACATCAGGTTTCATGTTGTCGATTCGTTTCGCGCTCGCTGCCAGAAGCCCAGTTTCCCGCCGAGCTACGAGGCCGGCACATTCTGGCGGCAGGTGCGTATAATTGCCCCTCTGGGGTGAAACGTGAGGGCAGATGTGATCACACTTGGTGCGACTGCTCGCTTGCATGGAGGCCAGCTGAGGTCGGGAACCGTGCCGCACACAGCGTCAAGCAGCGCGCACTGTGTGAAGTGGTCGACCTCACCCGACTGCTCTTCAAACCTCGACGGTGGTTGCGCGTCGAGGTTCATGCTGTTTTAACCTACTTTAGCCTTGACTACCAGAAAGAATTTCGAGCACCAGAAACAGTACTGAGGCTGGACGGTTTTCATGTGTCGGGCCCTGGGAGACACTCGCCTGACACTGTTCCGACACTGTTTCGACACTCTTCCGGGCGCTCGAAATTTCTTTCTGGGATGTGGTCCTCAAGTACGATGGGAGCAGCACAAGTCGAGGTGCGGTGGAGGCCGCTGGAGGCCCTCCCGCATCTCATGGGCGCGGCCCAGACACGCACTTCTGTTCAACCGCCCGAGCTCCAAACCAAAAAAGAGTGTTGCTGCAATCGGGTGCAGCGTCTCGGCGCGCCGCGTGCGTTCCTGAAGCAGCAGCCAGATGGCGACCTCTCCCTACCAGCCTTCAGTCGGGCCTGTCCCTCTAGAGGAGGAATATTAACAGATATCCAAACATAGTCTGGGGACGATTTCTTGAGTTTTGTTTTGTTTTTCGTCGTATTGCTAACTTGTCCTCCAAGACCCGCCTGTAGGGGGACATGTCCGACCTAAGTCTGCCAGTCCCCGAGCCCACCCTCCCCTAACAAAATGCTCCCGGAAAGGCAGGAGAACCCCAGGACGCACCCCCCCCCTCGAGGTCGGACGCCCCCCCCCCCCCTTCGCAAATCCCCGAGTTTGGCCCCGGACGTCACGGTCCAGTCGAGAACCCCACGAGATCGGGGATCGTGGTCGCCACATCCCCCGCCCAGCAGCCAGCACCGCAGCAGACCGCCTGCAGTGGGCACCAGCCTCGGGGCGGCCCCGCAGGGAGGGCCTGCGGAGCCTCGCGAGCTGTCGCTGCCTGGACTCGAGAGCCGCTCCCCGCTTTTCCCGCTTCCCAGGGCAGGCGGCAAGGCAGAGCGCGAAGATTTTGGCCTCCTGGATGGGGTCGGAGCAGTTTGGGTCGGAGGATCGCGCCGCATCGTCGATACATCGACGATGCGGCTCGATGTGGAGACCGTGTTTCCCATCGCCGACGTCGCCGATGCATCGCCGAGGCATCGCCGATGCATCGCCAATACATCGGCGATGCGGCGCGGTCCTCCGACCCCATCTACTCGGACCTCTTCTGGGAGGCCTCTAGAAGAGGGCCTGCTGGCCTCGTTTCGACTCCCCCGATGTCGATTGGCACCAGTTGAGGCGTTCCAGAGAGGGCCTCGCCTTCGAGGATCTGAGGAGTTGGCATCTCTTCCGCCGCGGAAGGCGGCGGAAGGTCGGCGGAAGGAAAACGAGGCCGCCTCCGTCAGCGGAAGCCGGCGGAAGCTCGGCGGCGGAAGCAAAACACACGCCCCAGAGGAGAATGGCTTACCTTCGAAGACGGTTTGGTGTCGTTTGGCTTCTGGTCCCGCGAGCATGTCTGGGCCCGTTTTCGATATCCGATCCGATCTCGCGGTTCGATCTGGCTCGGGCCTGCCCGGCCGCCGAGGGGGAACATCTGCCGAGGGGGTGCTGCTCCGCGCCCCCGAGCGCGCGGCGAGCTCTCTCCGAGCCGTCCCGGGGCGGCCTCTCGCCACGCCCGGCGTTCCTGCGGCCTGGCCGCCCGGATTGGGGGGGAGGGTCGGGCCGGACGAAAGGGGGGGATTGGGAAAGGGGGGGTTACGAAATCTGCTGCATGCAGCTGGTTTCGGCCCCGCCGTCGGGCCCATTCCTCGATACATGGGCGCCTCCGGCGCCGGGAAAGTCAGCTACGTGAGCTGATTCTCAAACCCCCCCTTTGCTATCCCCCCCTTTCGCCCGACCCGAGAGGGGGGCAGCAGAGGCGGGGCGTGAGAGTGGGGGCGGAGTCCAGTGAAACCGCTGAGGTAAGGAACGCTTTGGGCTCAGAAGGGGCTCGGGTTTTCGGGCCGCTCCTCGAGGTCTGCGTCGGGGAAGCTGTCCGTGGCTGAGGTTCGCCGCGGCCCAAAAGCCCCTTCGTTCCTCATCTGGCGTTCCTTGTGGTAGCACGATGACTGCAAAACAGCGGCGAACTTGGCGCGTGCTGTGCCCGATTGAGGTCGCGCACATAGAAGTGCCCTCTTCTCCACGCGGGTGTGCGCGCTTCTGGCCCGCGTGAGCGGCGGCGTAAGGTCGCCGTGTGGAGGGTTTCTCCAAAGTGTTTAGGCGACCCGTCCTCCTCCTCCTCCTCCTCCTCCTCCTCCTCCTCCTCCTCCCTCCTCCTCCTCCTCCTCCTCCTCCTCCTCCCTCCTCCTCCTCCTCCTCCTCCTCCTCCTCCTCTCCTCCTTTTCCTCCTCCTCCTCCTCCTCCTCCTCCTCCTCCTCCTCCTCCTCCTCCTCCTCTTCCATCTCACCCCCCCCCCGGCCCATGAGCTCCCGCACACGGGGCTCGACACACGCAGCGTCCCGCGAACCGTACCTCGTGGTGATGGCTGACGGCTCCCCCTCTGGTTTGCCCACCGTCGCACTCGATTGAATGTTATGATGTTTGTATATTTGTTGTGTCTTTCGCTCATTCGCTCTATGCTTATTTTCCTCCATTGGAGCTGTTTGGCGGCGGATGAGGCTTGGTTACATGGTGACGAGTTCAAGATGGTGGACATAGTTGCATTCACAAGCACGTGCGAGAGCTGCACCAGACCAGCCAGTCGCGTTCACTACGTTGCGCCATCACCATGCCATACGAAACGGATCTGTGCCTGGAAAATTTGTGAATCGACCGTGTGGCATCACTCTGCTCCTGAGGAAGAAGGCTTTCATAAGGAAACGTAGTGTGGATGCGCCGCCCGTGCTTGTCGCTCTTCGCGGACGCGTGGCGGTGTACCTAGTGCGCTCAGGTCGGCTTGGTTTCCCAATTCCAATGGCGTGCTTTCCCCCGAGGCCGTCGGGTAAGCGTGTTGGTAGAGAGTGCGCGAAGGGTGGGCCGCGGGGTCTATATCGTCGGACGGTGAATGCCATGTGCCCGTGGTTAGATAAGACACTGACCAGGTCACGGAAACGGCCGGCCTTGCTGTGGGACTCCGACCTGGATGACTCTTGTGAATGGGGGCGGCGAGTTGGAGGAGTACAAAACAAGTTGTGCCCCCCGCGCTCGGGCTTCACCGCGAGGGGGAAACAACGGCGCGCTGTTGATGGAGTACTGGAGGTGATTGAGCGTCACGCGGTGTCTTATTTCATCTAGTGAATGCGGTCTGAGGCCCAGTTTCTATGGGGCCTGTGGCTCGTCGCAGGTAAACTTCGTGGGAATGGCAGAAGTCGGTGGCAGACAGGTGCATCGCCGTGAAGAGATCCAACCAGAGACTGAAGCTTGTGAAGAAAGTAGGCATCCAGGACCACGTGCCCCTCCTCCTCCGTCTCGGCTGCTCGTTCGACCTCTCCCAAGGGCACCCAGTGGGACTACGATGAACTTGCCGAGTCTCTCAGAAGCGGCGTGGGGGCGGGGGCCTTCGTGGCCGAACTGGGAGCGTGCTTCGAGGGAGTCGACTCTCATAATATGATGTTGGATGTTGCGACGCTTGATGAGGGCTGGGAACACTGGGCGGCTGCAGCGTTTGCCGCCGATGATCGACACTTCTCTCGTGCTGCTGCTGCTGCGGATCCGCGGGCTCAGGAGCACGGTCGGGATTGGAATCGATTGTTGACTGAACGGAGGACTGCTCGAGAGAGAGAGAGAGGGTGATTGCGTTGAAACTGCGATGTTGCTTCCTCGTCCCCCGCGTCGATTGCGACATATTCGGGGGTGCCGACAGGGGGCAGTCGCGGAACAGCTTGTCTCTGAAATAGATGCAGCATGGAAAAGTGACAGCATGCAGAAGTACATATCTCGCTCGCGTTCTGGCGGGAAAGTGCGGGGGCCCTCGCCATCGCAAAAATGGCGCAGTCAACGAGCGCGCCCCCGGGCTCCCGGAGATCAGGTCGCACTTCGCCAAACGAGGGGTCGAGGGGGGGGTCGAGCCCGCGCCCGCCGCGTTCTCGGAAGACCAGAAGGCCCTGGAAGAAGATGCCCCGAAGCTTCAGGCGCACGGCCCTGACAACTCTCAGCGCGCGGAGCAGGGGCGGGACGACCTCGAACAGCTCTGGGAATTACATGCGAAGGCCCCTCGTCGCAGAGCTCAGGGGCGGTTCGATTGGGCGCATCGTCGGCCAAGGAGGAGGCGAGATACGGAGGACGACGACGATGGAGATGAAGGGCCCGGGCGTGTTCCAGCTTTCGTTCCTCGGCACAGGCCCGCGGGAGATCGACGAGGGTTCGGGGGTGATCCAGAGGACCTCAGCAACGCGGCCGCCCTCGAGGGTCTCCAGAAAGTCATTCACCGCATTAGTAGAGCAGGTCGCACACCACTGGCGCGG